ATTTGGGATTCAGACTCTATTAATTAGTCTGCCGGAGCAGGTGATAGATAGCCCGTGAGTGGTAGGGAGCACAGAAAAGTAGGTGTTCTCCCGCCTCGCTGTCCTGGGCAGTTGAAGTCAGCAAGGAAATTGTGTCAGCAGACACAATTCAGGGTTGAGATTCAAACTGACAGCTATGCTAATGCTGGGAGACGGGGGCGGGGGAGCATGGGGGCTTGGAGAGAGGTTTGTACAGATCTAGGTCTAACACAAAGTGGAAAAATGAAACCAACTCAGATTTCCACTTCATCACATAAAGCCTTTGTTAATTATGAACATCGGTTGAGTATGTAAATTTCTGAGCTTATAAACCTGTCTCTTGGGGTGTACGGCCTATTGCACCACTTATCATATAAGACACAGGGTTTTGAAATCATAGTTCCATATTCTCAAAGCTTTTGACAGATAATGGACAAAAAGTGAAAGTGAAAAAGTAACTTGCATATTCCAATCAAGCATCTCAATTTTTTAAAACATATTTAACATCCACTGGGAGAAACTAAAATTCCAAAATGCACTTTCAAATGAATTTGAGTATTTTGAAGCAGTTATAACTAGCGTTTTTAAGCAATTTTCTTTTAATATACCACATTATACTTTATTTGCTCTTGACAACATTGTAGAAAACAAAGACTAGGTTTTTAAAACTGTCTAACCAGTATGATGAATGTCAGTCACTTAAAAAAAGCCCACTGTAGCATAAACACACGCTGTATACAGCTTTTATTCGGAATTGCAATAATTGAATCCATGACAGCCATTTGCCAGGGTGTCACATCTCCCCATCACACCCTGTCACTGCCAGTTTATTTTTTGTGATCAAAATCAAAAAGACAACTATTTTGTCACCCGCTATTTCATTAGTACTAAAAAAATCAGGTTTCTTCTTTTTTTTTTTTTAAAGAATGTCTGGTTTATTTTTTTTTTTCATCTCTATTAATTCTAAAGACAAATTCTTCTCCATTTTCTTTTCAAAATAAAGTTCCAGGATTGATCTGTCAGTTAAAATTAAAAGGCGTTTCTGTTAAGTAAAGGTGCTTCTAAGATTTAAAGCAACTTCAAAAATCATTTTAGTCCCTAGATAATAAATCGTGTTGTGCAGATTCCACAGAAGCTTTGTTGCGGCCTTTGAAAGACTTAGGAGCAGCCTGAATGAATTCAAGTGAGTATTTTACTCGTTATTATTTTAATAACTCTAACCTTTTCCTTACCATGTTGTGTGTGGCTCATTTTATGCAAACACAACAGAACAATTACACAGCACTTGACTCTGAAAAGGAAACGCGAGGTCATCAGATATGTAAATTGCTTGTCAAAATACTTAATAGGTCATTGATTTACTTCCCCATACCATATCTGTAAAATTACAGCCAATTACTAGTTAATATATGCTGCGCAAATAAATACTATAAAAACCCATGTATCTACTTAGACCCTTATTTGAGATATGAAACTCTTCAAACTCAGTAAAGTGCATTTTAAACAATAAAATGAACCTAGGCTTTCAAAAAAATCAGCCTTGCTTTTTCTGACTCACTGGCCATTCTGTGTAAAAGGAAGGTACCCCCTGCTAGACAGCAATTACATTTTTGCTTTTCTCTGATAAACACCAACTCTAAAAACATGTTTCCCTTCCTCCTAGGAACATGATTTGTTCTCCGTTACCCTAGTAACTTACTCCAAAAAATAATGGTCTTCAAAGATGTGACTGTATGTATACACACCCCTCCGATACATTGTGAAATATGTATCTGTGAACAGTTTTTTCAGTTATCGGTTTGACTCAAAGGTATCAATACATAAGAACAATCCCAAGGTCATGCCTTGAAATGTCCTCATTATCTTTTAAATGTTCCCAGCAGATGAACTTCAGGCCCCTTCGTGTTGTTCATTTCTTACGCTAGATCTGCCTTTCTTCAACATGAGGTGAATATTTTGATGACTACAGTCTGCTCAGGTACTGGGGCTCTGAGCCCTTCTGAATTCCTTTTTAACAGCCATCAGCCAGCATCCACTTTTGTCTTCCACTCTTCGTTTATCTTCGTCTCCAACTCCAAGATCTCCCAGTACCAGACTGGATGACGTAAAAATACGTCACCACGAGGAGACATTCTCCAGGGGTCAGCTCTGGTCTGCCTCTGCACCGCAGCGACTGAGACACATGCACACAGAAAGGGGGCCCTGTTGGTTTGTTTCTGCCCATGATGGATGTCACTGAGGTGCCAAGCTCCTGCCTCCTTTTCCTGAGGCAGCACGGAGAGGAGGCTGCCTCCCTGGCTCCACTGTGGATTAAAACAGCAGTCAGTCATTTGCGAATGAGGAAAACAGAAAGAGGTGTTAAAATTCTCAAGAAACGAAGAGCATGTTTTGGCCTTGGTGAGGCAGACATACAGACCAAAAACGGCTCTTTTCGGCTTTTTGTTTTCGTAAACCTAAGACCCAGAGCACACAGCAGTGGGCAGGATCTAGACACCCTGCCAGGTGACCGTGCACGGCAGCGCCAAGCCTAACAGCACAGCAAGGTCTGAATCAACCCAGGAAGCCACATGGTGATGCTATGCAGGGAAAATGGACGAGAACCACCTCAAGAAGCCAGGTGTTTGCTTTGTCTCTGCACGAGCTAGGAGGCACCACTTTGCAGGAAAAAAATTCCAGGGAATTCATCCCACTCAACCGCGCTTTTTACCTAGAGCTCTCGTTCTATTCACCTGGCTTCCCAAAATCAGTCAGATTTGGAGGAAAAGCTTAGGCTGCTAGTCCAGTGTTTCTGCTGAGGCCATCGTCCTGGAAACCAGCATCAAAACGTCCCTGCGGGTTTCCCACTGTTAAATCTATAAGTGCACCTATCAGCAATAAATCAACAAAAATAAGTTATCACATCAGCGGGCGGGAGGCCGAATGCCAGACACAGCCACCTGAGTGTCACTGTCCCCAAGTCCCTGGTGGCTCCCAGGACGGTGCGCATCCCAGGCCATGTGGCTGTGGGAGGTGCTGTCCCCTCCCTGTTGGGCCAGGGCTCCTGCAGCCGCCCTGAAGACCTGCAGGGCCCGGGTGCACACGCAGCCTTGGTTCTACCACTGCCCGCCAGGCCCAGCCTCGTGCCCAGCAGGGCCCACCCAGCAGAGCCGTGGCCAGCACTGCCACATCAGGCTGCTAGGAAACTCCCTCCTTTCGGGAGAAGCTGATCACTCCCAAATCTGACGCTCCCCTGGGCACCACAGTCAACAGCAGGGTGTGCAGGGAGGCAGGAGCAGAAAGGCCCGCCCTGGCCAGCACAGCAGCAGGGCATGTGCGCCCGCCTGCACGCCAAACATGCACACTGCAGCCCACGCACGAGGTGCTCTGGTGGGAAACAGCTGGGAGGGGAGGGTGAGCGAGCAGCAGGCTGGAGAGCGGCTCCCTGCACCCTGCAGGAGCACAGCAGCAGGTGCTGAGCTAGAAGGTGAGGCTCCGATCTCCAATTAATTTCTACATTTTTGATCATCTGCCTTGAGGAGAAAAAAAAAAGAGCAAAAGCGGAGTGCAGTCCGGAGGAAGTGCGTTCCCCAGAGCCTGCCTCGTGCTCCAGCGACCTGGCCTTCCCAGAAGCTCACAGGAGATTCTCTTTGCTGCCTTCCATTTTGCAGAGAGGACAGGAACCTCAGCCTCCTACAGCCCTTCCCAAAGTGACAAAGCTTATTTTTCTGCATGCCCGGCTGCCGCCCCACCCGTGGTCAGAGCTCTGCTGCCCAGTGTGGCCCACTCCACAGAAGGGGCGCTGGGCCGAGTGCGCACCCAGGGCTCACCCCACCAGCCAGCCAGGGGTTCCACTGCCGCCCTCCGGCACAGCTGTGGAGCCAGGCCCCGGTGGAGGTCAGTGGGGCCCACTGGGCAGTGGCCTGCAGGGGCGGTGGCAGCGTCTGGTGTCTCGCTGGAGGAACGAGCTTCTCAGCGCTGCTGAAGCAGCCAGGTCGAGCTCTGCCCTGCTGAGAACCCAGCCCGAATTCCGCACTTCCTCTGCAGCGGCTGGTCTGCTGCCCGAGGGACCGGAGGCTGGCAGGGGAAGGGCTGTGGGTGTGAATGGACACAAAGCCACCCCACTTCCGGGGGTTTCCGCTAATTTATGCTTTCCTTAAACGTCTTCAAGGTGCGCAGTAGAGGGACCTTTGGCCTAGAATGCTAATTCAACATGGAAATAAAACTTGTAACACCACACTGTAAGGTTAAAAAGAAAATGGTATAATAAGGAGATACAAAGGCTTTGGCATGGTTTTTACAATCAACAGTGGTTAATTCTGATATGTAGTTGTGAACAACTTCAAAACACTTAAGTTTAAAACTCTTGCAAGCACTTTTAATTGATTAGGAATGAATTCTAGATGCACAAAATGATTGGACCGTGAACAGTAATACAACTATATCTAAGACAATTAACTTCTGCTGTCCAAAGAGAAACGTATGATTGCATGAAAATGTGTATAAAACATCTATAGAGTATTCTTGTCAAATATAAATGAAATTAACTTTATTATAGAAATCATTCTGAGGATTTCTAGGGAAGACAAATACTTACATTTTTGACATAAAACAAGTTGGATTATATCAAAGACACACTCTACCTCTTAGCTATCACCTTTTTCTTCCTTGAATTTATCTCTTACCTTTTGCACATAAACTTCATCTGTTAACAACCTTTGGAAAACCAACATATTTCTTACATAAATCTAGTGCATGTCGTTCCAAATTTAATTATATGCAAAGGATTGATACAAACGGGAACATCGGTCCATAAACTATGAGAGATGGGTAGAAGGACTCAATATATCTGGATAAAACTCTGAAATTCGCGGCAAATATTGTTGATCACAGTTTCCTTTTTCCTTTCTTCCTTTCTTTAAACAACCTCATGACCAAAACCTGCATACAGTCCAAGTTGTTCTTTTCTTTTTCATTATAACATACAAATGCCCATTTACAAATAATACACCAAAACGAGTAAAGGTTTGGATACCAAAGTGAAGCTCTATTCCCACTGAGCGCCTGGTGTCAGGTCCCGCTGGGTCCGAGGGCCCCGGGGGTGCCGAAGTGGGTCCATGCCTGGCAGTCCAGTCACGCTTGTCCCTCCCGAGCGCCTGCAAGTCCACAAAGTTCCTGGCCGAATAACTCGATTTCTTCTTTTTTTACTGTAATCTTGGCCAATACTGAGACATATCGGGTTCGCTTCCAGGAACCTGGACTGGAACCGACACACCAGGAGAAATGAGGCCTAGAAATGGAAGAGAGAAAGCTGTGTGGGTAACTTGTCTTCACGAGACAGGCTGGAGGATGGATTTATGGGCTTTCAAAAACTCTCCAGTACTGCCGGGCCTGGTGGCACACGCCTGTAATCCCAGCACTCGGGAGGCTGAGGCAGGAGGATCACTGTGAGTTCAAGACCAGCCTGGGCTACATGGTGAGTTCCAGGTCAGTCTCAACTATGTAGTGAGACCCTGTCTCAAAAAACAAAAAGAAAAAAAATCCCCAGTACTGTCTAACAGGCTTTACTATAGTTTTAAAAATATTACAACTCTTCCAAGCCAGTTGTGGTGGCACTGCCTATAATCCCAGCACTTGCGAGGCTGAGGCAGGAGGATCGCCATGAGTTGGAGGCCAGCCTGGGCTGGACAGTGAGTCCAAGATCAGCCTGGACTACAAGACCTTGTCTCAAAAAAAAAAACAAAGTAAAAAGCTAAAAATACCAAAGTCCCCTTCAAACAGCAGCACCATCAGATGCTGGCGACCTGTGGTGTAGACACAGCTACTGAGTACCCAGTCTCCAGCCCACAAGGGAAGGGAATGGCTCCCGTGTGCCTGGGCTGCGGCTGGGTTGCAGGGACAGACACACGGGAGCGGGCAGAGGCATTCTCCCCACAGCACAGGTGCAGCTCAGTCAAGCTTCAGCTCAACGACTTGGAGCCGCAGGCCTTGTCTCCATACACGACTTCCCGGCCAGAGGAAGGAAAAACCACCTCTGTACAGGGTCAAGTTACCACTGGGTTTCCCCCTTCAGGCAGTTTTGCTCAGAGACAAGGGCGGCAGAGTCCAACACCCTCACAGGCAGCTCCTTCTGGGTCAACTTTGAGATGGGCTGGCCTAAGTGCTGAAAAACGTGCAGCCCGCAGGCGCCGCGAGGCTCACCTGTAGACGTGGAGCCCGAGGTGCCCATGGGCTGGCTATTCATGTGGGTCTGCATGTGTGGGGGCGTGTAGGTATCGTAACTCCGCCCGTTCACCGACGGGCTGGTGGGCAGCATGCAGGAGTACGAGGAGGTCTGGCTGGGGACAGGGGGCTGCAGGAGAGAGGAGACCCGGGTCACCGAGGAGCACGGCCGCAGCTAGGCTCCGCAGCCCACACATCAGCACCCTAAGCTGGAGCCCCTCGAGGTGAGCTCGCCCGTTAGCCCAGCACGGGGGAGGGAGGCTGAGGCGGGAGGGCTGCCATGAGTTCAAGGCTGCCCGGGCTACACAGTGAGACCCTGTCTCAAAAGCAAACTGAAAGCTCTGCGCATTTGTCCAGCGAGCGCGATGGCTGGCGCTGTCCGCTGCCCTGCTCTGGCGGCTCCCTCAGACCTGTGGCATGAGGGCCCTGTCACCACATGCCCTCCCTGTCTGTGATGACCACAGGTGACCACGGTCAGAGCTGTAGGAAACGGAAGCCACCCTGCCCCAGATGAGCCCGGGCAGGTTCATCTACAAGCTGTGCTGCTCCCCAGCTTGTGAGAAGCGGTTGGGGATTTTGGTCACCAGGTTGGACAGACGGACAGACAGACCAGATCTACTCCAGAACGCAAAGCTATCTTCTCTGGCCAGGAACCCATCGGTCACAAGTCTGTTTTCTGAGTGCGCGTGCTTTCTGAATTGCATAAACCGAGTGATTCTGAAAAGTCCTCGCGTGAAATACGCTGACCCCACACACCCATCCACGTGTGGACTTAACACCGCCTGTCTGCTTGTGTCTCGTTTTCTCAAATACAAGACACACTGTGGACGAAACACTGGTCTCATTAAGCAGATGATGCCCGTGCCCGGTTCAGGGAGGCAGACGGCCTGAGGGCCCTGCATGGTTTCAGCTTGCGTTAGGCTGATGTCCTGGGCCAGGTGGCTGGCTTCTTCTGAAGCCACAAGCCCATGACAGGAAGTGACTGCCAGCTGAGAGCACCGGTCATGGGCTGATCCTCAGAGCCACACAGTTCCCTGGAAGCGGCTTATCTCACCGTTCTAGACAAATCTGAGCCCCCAAGACACCTGCTCTGCTCTTACTGGACCCTGAGATCCAGCACAGTGTGCTGGGTGGAGAACAAACATCTCCGTTACCTCAGAAGCAGTTCCAGTCCTGTGCCAGCCGCACCTCTCACCGTGGCCCCACAAGGAAACCAGGAAAGCCACTGTCAGAGCCATCACAGACTGGAGGGCGTTTTCCACTCCACACCCAGGAGCAGCCGCTGGTTCCCTGCCCGCACTGCAGCTCCACTACCCAGCAACTGCCCATGCAGGGCCAGAACGGGAACAGGCGGTCTGCCGCCCGCTGCCGAGTGAGCAGCAGTGGACGCTGCGTTCTCAGTGGGCATCTCCCACTCCCCGTTACGGGGCCGGACTGGCGTGGAGAGGCTCCCTAGGGCGCAGGCCGTGCCGCCCGCTTACCTGCATAGGCAGGCTGTTGGCCATGGTGAAGCTGGGCATGGGTGGCAGCGCGCTGTATGTGTTGGTGAGGGCCGTGTCTGTCCGGCCCAGCATGGAGCCGGACGTGAAGGAGGACGCTGTGGAGAGAGAGGTTCGGCTCGTGAGCGGCTGGGCCAGGCCGGGGGACAGGAGCGGGTGCGGGCGTGTGCGCCGCTCACCGGGGGTGGTGGGCTGCGGGATGGGCTGGTACACGCTGGTGCCGAAGCTGCTGCTGATGGGGATGTGGCTGGGGGTGTTGCTGGCCTGCCTGCGCTGGTTCCTCAGCTTCTCCTCTCGTCTCCACTTGGCCCTTCTGTTAGAAAACCACACCTGCAGAGGGCAGAGGGGGACGCAGCTCAGCCCTGGCCTGCAGGGCGCAGCCCAGCCCGGCGGGGGCCTGGCAAGGCGCAGCCGTACCTGTATCCTTGCTTCGGGCAGGTCTATCTTGGCTGCTAGTCTTTCCCGGGCGAACACGTCTGGGTAGTGGGTTCTCTCAAATTCTGCAGGAGGAAGGGGAGCGAGGCCAGGTCAGAGGGCACCATGGTGCGCCCGGGCCTGGACCAAGCCGCCCATCGCCAGCCAGGCTGCCAGCCGGGGCTCAGACTGTGCTGCTGACTGCGGGCACGACGCCCTCCACGGTGCCAGGGAAGGCCGCACGCACCAGCGCTTTCGCCTTCTAAACCAGGTCTTGCATCTTTAGAAGGAAACCACACAGACCCCAGAAGATGCCCGGAGCAAAGTGCAAAGACAGAAAAGTGCGAGCTTGCCAGCCGCCGGAGGAGCCCGTGGGAGTCACCTTTCTCCAGGGCCTCAATCTGCTCCTGCGTGAAGGACGTTCTGTTCCTCTGCAGCTTCCGCTTGAGCTGGAGCCGCATCTGCGCCTCGTCCGAGTCCTCCCCGTTGGAGCTGATGGAGGTGGCGTTCTCGCCCGCTCCCTCCTGCTGCTGGCACCCGTCTGGACGGAAGGGCAAGGGCGGCAGTGAGGGGCCGGGGCGACCCGCCAGCTCCCGCCAGGGGAGGACCAGCGCGGCGGCGGCCACCTGGTGGTACCTCCCCTGCCCAGGGCCTGCGCGGCCTCTCCGGACGCGGACACAACAGGCGCCCAGTTGTGAGCAGCCTCCACTCCCAGGGCCCCAGCCCCGTCCCCGTGGGGAAATGCAAGTGACGTGCGGGACTTCGGCTGATCCATAGTCAGTAATTCCCATCCAATCAATTAGATGTTGATAGGTTTGTAGAAAATGCTATTAGGAGACCAAACCAAGCTTGTAATCTTTTAAAAAAAATATTTATCTAGTTTTTATTTGAATTCTGCACAGTCAATTTCATTTTAAAGGTTGTGAATTTAGCAGTGCTCCCATTGTTCTGCAGTTTTATTCCACTATTGTATGAGTGCGCGTCGCCGTGACACCTATTACAGCACAGCTGTAATTATATCATCACCAAGAACAGGCTATAATTGCTGAAAATGGAATTTTATATTTAGATAAAAGGACTGTCCATTCTTTGTAATGTGTTGCACCAGAGAAAAGTAAGATTTCTTTTAAATTTTTAACGTGTAATTTTTAAAAAGAAACAGAGAGTTCACTAACTCCCTCAACATGCTACTCTGCAGCTGACTCCTTGGCGTCTCGTTGAAGTGGTACGTTTTTAATTAGGGCATTTCCACCACTTCTAATGTAATTTCTGTCGTCAAATGGGAAAGTTTTATTGTTTTCCTTTGCCGTTCAGAGGGCAAGATGTGTGCTTGGGCTCTCCGTCCCACCTTGCCTGTCTGAGGGAAAGCGCTCAGGCCTGCTGGACCGGACCTCAGGCTGGACCCCGGTCCCAGGCCGAGGGACCCCCGGGGGACAGGAGGACGGCCAGTTCTGGGGAGGGCGGGCGGGCGGCCTGCTGGGAATCCGCTTGGCCAGGAATATCATTTATAACCAGGACACAATGGGCAGCGCCTTCAAAAAGCCCAGGGAATTGTGACAGGATCTAGTGGGATCTTTTCAGGAACTCTGAAATGTTTTAAAACCCCAACTTTCTCCCCCATTTAAACAGGCGGATTCATCCGCGCTGGCCACCATATGGGCCCTCGGAGATCTATTGAGATGACCACCAACACTTGAATAGCGCGGGGCTGCTTTTCAGTGCGCACAAAGCCCCGCGAGTAAGGGAAACTATTAAACTCCTGGGCAGGAGCGTTGGCAAACTTTCGTGGGCAGAATTTTGAGGCCACAATGAGCACGGACAACAAAAGGATTCTCTTGAGGCGTGCAGCGGGCCACATTGTGTTACAAGAAGCCAGTCAACAGACTTTTCAGCGCAGTGTGTTAACCCCCGGCTCTGCCATCATTAATCACTGTCCGGAGCAGGGCGCGGGGGCTTCCCGTGCAGGACGCCGGCCAGGGG